TATTTAATTAAATAATTAATAAATTAAATATTATTTTTTATTTTATTTAAATTCTCAACCCTTACATAAACAACACAAGTTAAACATAATGGTACATCTAAAAAGGTTTTTAAAACCCGCTCTCTGGTCTTCTTTATGAAGTATCTAACTTCAGTTTAGGAGTCTCAGAAGTCCCTGTTCGAAAAAGAAAAGTAGTTGCTCAAGTCTCAATGTCTCTGTTTCTTCCTGTTTCTGCGTGAGCAGAGCAGGTAATAATTGTATCTTGTCGGAACCAGCGACATCTATAATAGCAGATCATCAAACCGTCCAACTGATTTCTGCTCCACTTTCACTGTCCGGAGCTATAATTCATTTATGATGGCTGTTGACCTGCACAAGCGGGAGTTATTGCTTCCTTCCGAGTTCTCTACTAAAGACCCGGGGGGTGTTCTTTCAGTGAACAGCAAACCCCTCACGCTGAACGGGTCTTACTTTTCTGGCTCGTCGGATTCTGGGTCTGAGTACATGAGTTCGCCGGTGGAATCTGAGGCGGGTTCGACGAAGGGCAGTGAGGAGATAGAGGCGGACGACGACGATTACATTTCTGAGTTGACTCGTCGGATGGCTCACTACATGCTTCAAGACGAAGATAAACATGAACAGGTATTTCATTTTCTTGGTCATGGAATCGAGTTTTCGGATTCTGGGTATTGGGTTTTCTTCAGAAAGAACTTAGTTTTTTCTTGGTTTTGTGCCTTCTGAAGTCATGGGGTTTCAGTAGTTCTCCCAAATCGACGCTTTGGTCGCCGATAGGTTCGAACCATGAGAGTCCGGTCGGGCGGTCAAGAGCGACATCGCCGCCGGTGACACCCATAATTGGGGATTCTGAAATGATGAAGATAAGTGATGGAATCCCCAAATACAACCTTGGCAAGGAACTTTTCAGCGCACCGGCATCAATCCCAGTAACTACAACAAACCCAGATTTCGGGTTTCAATCAAAATATCCCCTAATCGACGACCAAATTCGAGCTATTCAAGTAAGCATGAAAAATCATAACTCTCTCCCCTAAAATCATTCCCTTTTTCCCTAGCTATCTAACTCTGTTTTCGTTTTCAAACTTTGTTTTCTTTTTTCCATTTTTGCAGTTTTATAAGCTTAAACAGCAGCAGGCCATGAAACAGATGGACAAAAAACAGAGGTTTAAGCAAAACTGTCAAGGCAAAGGAAGAGTCCCTGGAGGGTTTAACAACGGCCACAGGGTTCCTTCTCACTCGTGCGCCTGGTATACTCTGCAACAGCAACAGAGTAACCGCCATGGTTCCTTGGACACGAGAGGTGTTTCCCTTAACACATCAGGCTCCAAAACTGGTTCTGGGGGAACAGGGGTGTTCTTCCCTCGAAGAACAGGAACGTCGTCCGCAACACGCAAAAAACAGGGTAAAAACAAAATCGAATCAACTTTTTTTTTTTTTCTAGATTGCGTGCGTGTTTCGAAGAGATTGAGGTTGTCTCTGTTATAGGGGTGTTTTAGAATTTAGGCAAAAGTTTGGTTTGATTAGTTGGGTTGGTTAATGTTAAGTGGACACAGTTAATCTTACATGTGCCATTTAGGTCTGGTTTTTCTGATGTTTGGACTGGAGGGTTTTTATTTTATTTTATTTTATTTTGACTCATTCTAAGATTCCCATTTCATCAAATAATCAACCCAGTTTGGCAATGTCCAAAATTCTTGCAAATTTGAATAAGAATCTTCCCCGATATGGTCCACCACTGGCATGCTTTCATAAAAAGGAATTTGGGAAAAGAAAAAAAAAATCCTCAAAAATCCCAATTAACTAAACTTTTACTTTGATAAAAGTTAGCATAATCTTCTGTGTTTTTATATGAACAAAATTTTCGGTCCATTTTTAACAGATATTAACAAAATT